AGTTTCACATGCACACCTTGAGGTAACATTAGGTCATCAATGGTAAATCCTTTATCGGCCATAACAAGATCTTTGTCATCAAATGGCAAGTCCAGAAAGCCACTGCGAACAACAATTTCTCTGTCAGATATTGAGCCAGTGTAAAGCTCACTCACAAAAATCATTGCACCGCCTGGTGAGATGCCAATTAAACCTTTCAGTGTTGTGTGATTTTTGTAATTGCTAAATAGTTCCCCATTAAGCTGTAAACTGCTTGGCATTTGGCATCGTACCTCAGTGCAGTCAATAATAACCCTTGTTGCTGAGTATTTTGCTTTAAAAGCTTCTGGCATGGTGTTGTCAATTACTGTTCTTGAGGGCCATATATTAATCTGAGCAAATTTAAGGTACATAAAATTGACCCAGGATATAACAACTCGGCTTACTGTTGATAATGAAATATGGAACAGATTACTCAGGTGCTCTTCAGCAAAGCCTTGTCTTAGACGACACATCACTAAGAAAAACTCATCAATTGCCTTAAGAGCTCTTGGTCGTCCTTTTTCTGATTTACTGTAGTGTTCGTTGTCGTAAATATCAAGTAAAGGTTCCTTGGTATTTAAAGATGTCCAGTACCTAATGTTTTGACCATATTCGCCAGGATCAAGGAAGTCAAATACTGTTTTAAACACCTCAAAGTCAGGAAATCCGGTGTAAAAGCTGATCGACGATGAGTTGGAACGAAATCTATCAACATTGAATAGTTTAGCTTTCAGTGCATCAGTCTGTTTCATAAGTTTATCAATCTCGGCTTTCAAACCAGCAATCTCTTTTTCCATTATTCCAATTAAATCGTTATGTTCTGTTTGAGATTCTTTGTCTTCGAATACTTTGTCTTCAGTCTGAGTTGTATTTTCAAAGACCGAAGTCTCGTCCGTTTGTGTTGATATTTCTTGATATGGTGGCTGTTCAATCGATTCCAAATTATCTTCATTCTCGCTAACAGCCTCTGAGATATCGTCAAAACCTGTTGCTACTAAATGTCTGAATGGTGGGGGCTTTCGTTTACGAGGAGACGTGCGCCACGAAAATACTGAAGGAACGACTCCAGGTTTGAGATTTATCTTACTTCTACCTAGCGATCTCTGAAAGTCCTCCGTTTTAAAATGCCTCGAGCATACCTTAGTGGATTTACTTATCTGAAAGTTTTTTCCCTTCATCTCTCCTGATTGCATGACTGCACTGTTTCGTAGAGATTTATCAGTAGGGAAAATAAAATAAGAAATTTTTTTACGCTCTTCAAGATAGCCTTTCTTGGTGCAGCCGGGAACACAGCAGTGCGTAGGCATTGTTTCGACGAAAAAATTTGCCCTGAAACAATCACCATTTCCCAATCAATCGAAATCTTGAGTTGTTCACATTGTGATTCAGTTTTTCAGCGTGGATTTTTTCAAATTCGAAGCGTTATGAAGGATGTACTAATAAAACTTCCAAACTTTGACAAGTTGATCGCGCTACACGTGAAAGATATTTGTTTTGATCAGGCCTTTGATGCCTCGTTTCGATTTACTCGTTACCAGTTTTCAAACTCCGGTCGCACTGTGCCGCCATTTTTGAAAGCCGTGTATTAGATTGGCAAATGTAGCAGAGGATGAGTTAATTTTCAGGGATATTAGTTTTTGCTATTGATGGGAACCTGCGAAACAAAACAACATTTCCCCTGTGTGTTTTACATTTGTCTACAACATTGTCTCAAAAATGCCTCAAAATGATAAAAATAGTATTCTGACGGTGGTTGTAGACCTGTGGTATTAGGTGGTTGTAGGTGGTTTAGGTCATAATGATTCCATGTTTTAGTATTTACCTAAAACGGTCGTCATCTTCTCTAAATCTACTTCCTTACTTGGTCATCTTTCAAATTGCCTTCTGGTACAGTATCACTTTCAGTAATTACGTTTAATGTTTGATGTATCTTGTTGGTTCTCAGTTATCATTATGGTTGAAATCTTCATGCTGTAAATTTGTAAGACTGCTACCAATGTCATTTATATTATTTTATATACAATGGATTACATTTCTTCAGCCAATCAAGAGCTTGTTGTATCATATGTGGCCATACTGCTTGAAAGTACATATGCCCTCTAAACCATAATTTTCTCTTAAGTTTTAGCATAATTACACCAGATCTTTCAGGGGGCATGGAAGTTGTTTACAAGCCTGATCACATTCTACTGGAACAGTGCAGATTGCACCTTTAAATTTCCTCTGTTGCCCTTTAGGCATAACAACCATCCTTTGAAATACTATTCTTTGAGCCATTAGTATCGCTTCTAATTTTCCTAATGAAGCTAGTTGTGTAGGAGTTTCATTATTAAGGAAACACTTTACGACGATTTTCTATAAAGTATTCAATTACAAACACAACAAATGAAATAAGAATCTTCCCTTATTTTGCAATGAAACTGTTCAATACACGCATCTAGTTTATTTTTTATTTAACTGTCTAGGTTAGATATCTGTGACGTTTCTGTCAGATCGTATTTCAGAACCTCGTTCGTGTTTACCAGTAGTCTGTGTGTACGGTCTAAGTTTAAGTTCTTGACGTTTATTGCTTTCATTGCAAAGTTTTTGGATCTTGCGTATATAACTACTCAGGCATACAGAGAGGAAAATCGGTAAGCACATGTTTCTACCTTTCTTAGTTCCATTTCGTCGGTTATTTCTAGTTTAGTTGATTTGCCGTTTCCTGCGTTGATCTTTTTATCACATCCAATTATCGTTCGGCTTTGTCCTTTCATGTCGCTTAGACTAGACATTTTCGTTTACATTTTAGTTTAACGGTTTTGAGTATTGGTACATTGTAATAAAGATAGTTCATTGGAAATCACCACGAAGTCCAGTGCTCTTAATCAGTGCTTCGACGTCCTTATTTCTAATTCTGAACTTGCGGTTATAGCGCCTGGAGTCAGTTACATTTTATTTCTCAGTGTGTTTATGATGTTTTTTTTTTTAATTTTGTCTCCTTCTTGTTGCATCCATTTTCGAAAATCTTGCTTTAATGTTTCCAATGTACATTTTCTTTGCAATTGGTTCCATAGTACCATAGTTACCTTAGTTCTTATCGTTTTGTATTATTTCTCTCCCTACATTTTCAGACAGTCATAATTCACTTGAACAGCATACAATTGGCAATGTATGTCATATATAGACACTCTGAATTTCACTTTGAATGAAACTAATAATTGCATCTACAAATGTATATATGTTATTGATGTGTTTAATATGTTTGATTGCAGGTGTGCAACTGTCATTGTCTATCAGTAGAGAAAACAAACGCCTTATCCTGGTACTTTGTTGAATAAATAATGAATAAAATGCTAATTGTAGAATACAGCCTATTGTCAGTTGTATTGATTGCTATAATTATCTAGTGCTACTTTCTTTCACATTGTCCCTTGTTATGTCAGATTTGGTAATGTGTACCCCTTTTAGTTCAAACACAAAAGTAACACATTAGATAATACCAACAGCATTACATTGTACATTGAGTGATTTGTATTGTTGTGATATCAGTGATTCAAAAGCTCTCTCCAGAGACACACAGTACTGACATCCCTATAACTGCAACCTCATCATGTACAATACTAGTGTAGCTTTCGCTTATATTCAAAGTTGTAATTTTCTTCTAACACTGTAAGCATTGTCAGCAATTCTGTTAGCATCAAAAAAGACTGTCTGGCTAATTGTGACAAACTAGAATATAGTTGATTTCTGATATTCATAATTTAAATCAAGTCATCAGGACAGCTTATTCCCAAGTATATTAAAGCACACAAACTCATTGCAACACATTGTTGTCCAGCATTTTGTCCAAACACAGCAACATTACCTTGACTGTATAGTGCTGTAATTTTTTTTGTAGGTTCAACATTGTGCTGATCAGGATCAGGTTTTTTTTTTTTTTTTATTGATGCAGAGCTTATACCTGGTATAACTGCATGCCTATATGAGATGAATTCATGTATTCACTTATTGGCAAATTACAAGAAAAAACTGCAAGAACTTCATGACTGAACTTCATTAAATAGTACCATCTTCGAATGGGTTTCTTTCTTACTTTTCCTACAATCCCAAACACAGAGTTTATTCCTTTTCTTGCGAATTCTTGCATATTTTCCAAAGCAAATAATTTTGGATGCCATTGGTGTGTTTTTACTTCCACAGGTCCAAATGAAACTTTGTAGTTTTCTGCTTTTCTTAGATAGATGTCCAAATCTTTTCAGTGGTGTTCTACTTGGTTCATGATTTCGTTTAAGATGGTGGCATTCATGTGCAACAGAAGTACAATTATAATGCATACTTTGCATGACAGGATCTAAATTGTTGCACTTTTATTGTCACTATAGCAGATGCTTGGGTACACTAGTTTGATCGATGACCTTGTCATGTATGTTACATTCCTCAAGGCTATTTAATCTTAAAATGCTTCCCAATGAGTATAAAGAAATCATCAAAATAATATAAGCTTACACCAATACTGACAAACACATGTAAAATGCTTACTGTGATTTTAAACGTAATACCGAATTTTACTTTACAAGCATCTTCTCATCAAGATACTTGTTTTGGTCGACATCAGAGAGGTTCAATTTAGTCTCAGAGTTCGTTAAGAGTGAGTCAAATTGACAAAACCACGACCATTATGGTCGTTTATTTGTCAATTCGTTCAATTATTAATTTTTGTGCTCATTTGGTATCTCACATGCAATCTCATATTAATCTCGTTTGAACTCATTTGATTGCACTACGACTTCACGGAAGTAAAATAGGGCTTACCTTCATGATTTCTTTAGTCTGCTACAAGGAAACGGTTGCACCGATTCGATTCTCCATCATCATAATTATCCGAAAGATAAAAAGTTTAACTCACATAGCAAAGGTTTTTTCGGTCCAAAAACATCCCTTAACAAGGTGCCTTTTCAATTTGTAAAGTAACATTTTCAAGAAATGCGAGATGCGAGAAAATGAAGCCATTGCTTAGGCAAAAATACTCCTTCAAGCAGTTGGTTTTCTTTTTTCTTCGCCCGCCATTTTGTTTTGACGCATTTTATTTACCATATATGACGTAACTAACCTTAAATGCCGCCGTACAAACTAATCGGCTAAAAATCGAAAAAAAGCGGGAATTTGAAGGAAACAGTACACGTCTAACTTACACTTAATAAAAGCTGGATCATTAGATCATTAGATAATGTAATTCAAGACTTTTTATTGGCTAACCATTATGGTATTTGAGCCAATATACCATAATCTAATATCTGTACATTGTAACATCCGGTTTCTTGCAAAATAAAGTCGAGAAGATTTGTCTAATATCTCAATATCTTGGGGGCGTTTTTTTTTTTTTTAATAAACAATTATTCCACTCGCGCTTGTTGGATATGAGATGATTATACTCAACTTGGCGCTACGCGCCTCGTTGGCTATCTATCATCTCATATCAAGCGCACGCTCGTGGAATAATTGTTTATTATTATCCAACTACACCTAGACGAGTACGAATAACGCCATAGACGAGTACAAATACCACGCGGTATTTGTACTCGTCTATTGTAGTACCAGTTAAACAGGTTCTCTCGCATCGCGCAAGCGATGCAAGAATACGAAA